CTCGCTACTTGTTTAAAAGCATAATTTTATTAAAAATATTATTTAAACTTCTGATGTACAGTTTTTAAAAATTAAGAAGTATCCTCAAAAGGTAACTGATATCACTAAATTTTTTATAATTGCTGTGATTGAAATTCTGACGATTCATGAAAAGTTAATGGCACTTACATAAATGGGTAATTATTTAAGAATTTGAAATGTAAAATAATAACTTCCAATTATCCTTAGATAATTCTTAATAGGTGACTACATAACTAAAAACCCAATTAATTCCAAACCTTGTAAAATCATGACCTGCACATAAGTCAAACTACTTAAGTTGGAAATCTATTGTGATTTGTTCGCTATCGATGGTCACTTGGTCATAATTATGTAATGATTTTAGTTAATTATTTTTTACGAAATTTGACATTAGCTTAAGTACATTTTTTATAAAAGTAAAAAAATTTTAAAAAATCTTAATTTTTTCTCGAATAATTGATTAAAAAAATCAATTAAAAAAAATTTTGTTAATAAATTATACAATTATTGTTTGAAAATGTTATTTATGACTTCCGTATTTGATATTGTACATTGCTGGGTTCGTTATAATTAAGTATTAATTAATTTAAGTCTATCTTACGTTTAAAAATTTTTGTAGGGATTTAAAAAATAATAATTTCTTAATATACATTTAAATATCAATTTATTTAATTTGCGCCAGTTGTCTCAAGTACAGTAATAATGGGTAAAATACTCTTTCTGTTAATTTCAGAACTAGTTTAAATATTTAGATATTTGGATATAAATAGACTTAAAACTATATTTTAAGCTTAGGTAACTCTCACGTGACTTATCCATGAACGCCTCTGCGACATGACAAATCGGAACATTGCCTCAACATTCAATTGTTTTAATTTCGAGTGAAACTGAGAAGGTATTAGTTTTACATTGATATGTTTTTTTACGCCTGTCTATGAAAATTCTCAGCTTACACTTGGCCGAATTTAATGGTCTTACAATTAGTGTAAAATTACAAATACACAAATTGTGAAATTTGAAAAATTCGCTTCAAATCTTTTTTTCATGATAACTATGTCAATCATTGTCAGATATCATGTATACTTGTCTTAATTTGGCCGTGACTACTATACTAGGTTTTTTTATTTAACAATTCTTTAAAGCACCTACTAATATCATTAAAAGTTGTTTAATTTAATTTAATTTAAAATATTACACATCGAAGAATTGATAATAATAATAATGAAAAAACANTTTTATTAATTAAAATATTACACATCGAAGAATTGATAATAATAATAATGAAAAAACAAAAATAAAAATTAGTGTTAATGAATAGCCAATGAAAATCAATTTTGAGTGCAAGACAATAATGAGACCTAACATTTCAAATAAAATTTTACTTACTGTGGTTATTCTTCAGATATTGTAATAAAAAAAATGTATAAATTAAATTTTTCCGTACGTTAAATATTTATAACGTAACACAACGATTTTATAAACTTAAATATATATTAGTAAAATTATGCATTATTATTTTTTCATTTAACATTTTTTTTTTTTTTATATAATTGGCTATTTCGGAATTTTTCTATAAAGCGTTTGTCTAATGTTCAAAAATCAAGTTTATGTTTATATCTAAAAGCGAACTTGAACATATTAATAATAATTTTTTTTTTAAATAATAATACAGAATATCAAACGAGTCTATAAAATTATAATTTCTTATTTTTAAATGTAATATTTTCCAACGATTTCACGTTAAATCACTTCATTAAGTATGAATCTAATTGTAAATTATTCATATACTGATTCTATTTGAATTACATAAAATTCCAAGCCGCGCTACAAAAAATAAATTATAGTAATTTTACATGTCTCATTTTTAAAATATTATCAATGAGCATTTCAAATTAAAAAATTCTAACTATATTTAGTGACATAGAACTGATTCTAAAAAAAATTGTTAAAGATTCTTCTTAAACGCACTTAATTGTAAATATAATTTACATTTAATTCTAAGGAAGTATTCTTATAGATATCTTTTCATTTAATTCATGACAATACTACTTATCAATTTAGAGTGGAAATTATTTATTTTATTTTATTATTATAAAGCTCCTAATGTTATGTTAGTTCTTATAAGCTCCATACTTATGATATCAACTATTAATATTTATGTTCTACCATAAAATAATATTTTTTATGGTAAAAATATTTTAACTTAATTAAAATTTTATTACCACTAATTATTTACAAATTAAATTAAATTTTTGTTTAAAAATGTAGTAATTATAAAATTTATCTTATTAACATTAACTAAAATTGGCATTTTTTTTCATTTGGAAAATAAACCACTTTTAAGCATCTATTCTATTTATTTATAACTAGGGTTTATATTAGAAAATAATTATTGTTTTTCGTTATGGAAAGTAATAATATCAATTAAATATTTTAATAAAATATTGTAGTATCAATAACTATAACGTTGTTCTATTTTTGTATTAAATGTTTTCAGATATTTTAATGTTATTCCACTTTTACATATCATCACCTTAAAATTAGTAGGATCCAACTTTATTTTTGAAAAAAAATTTTTTTGATAAATATTTAAAAATGTTAATTACGCATCTTATAAAGCCCTAATTGAAGTCATTACATTCATTATATAGCACAATATCTTAAACAAAAAATTTAAAGTTCCATATGAAATTTTGTCTTCATATATATATTTTTTAAATTTATTTTTAATAATGATAATTTTATTTATAAAATGGTCTAATTATAAATCATCGATTTTGCATTGAAACCTTTCATTCTCAGCTGATGATATTTTATTTTTTATTAGTCGTATGATATCAGTTATTATTTTATATCTTTTTATGTAAATTGAATTCAAACACAATTTTAAGTTTTTTAAAATCTTATGACGTATTGTTTTTGAAAAACAAATATTTGACAAAGTAAATCGCGAGACATTCTCATGCTTTGAAAACATTTAATTTTAGGTAATTAATGAAATTTCAAAATTTAACAATAATATTTTTCTAACGTTATATTACGTTTAATGATAAAAATAATATTATTAAAACGTTGTAAAAATTATGATTTAAAAATTATTTAATGTTATAATATTGTAATGTTTCTTATATTTAATTGTGGTGTATTGCATTTTTTGATATTTGCTTTTCTTTTTTTTATATACTTTTCATTTTTAACGTCAAAATTATACTATTATTATTATTATTATTTAAGCCCTAATTATAATTAAAACGAATTCCCTGACACAATACATTGTTGTTAATAAGGTGATCAGAGAAATTTTAGTATTCAAAAATACAGTTCGGTAAAAATATGTTCCCTTAATAAAAATTGGATATTATAAAGACCTTAAAATATCGCGAAAAAATGTACGGGTTGAAGTAAATTCTAGTTAATTCATTTTATTTACTTCATATACGGCTAATAATTTAAAAAATTGCTCATTATATTAAGTATTAATGTATTAGCTTCGATGCTATGCTGAGAATGTATTTATATATCTAATTATTTTAACATTGCGTTATAAATATTAAGTATAAGTACAATAAGATGTCGTGACTCAGTGCATATGTATTGGTGTTTGATTAGGTTGCATTAGTCTATGACATTTTCCCATCCTCTCTACTACAAGCTTAGCTTGTATCTTACTTATATTTATATTAATTTAATTTAAATATAATAATAATCATATAATTAATTTTTATAAAAGCTCAATATCTACTAATTGTATAAATAATAATATTTAATAAAGTTAAACAACTTGAGATAAAAATTTTACCGAAGCAATCAAATAATATTTCTGAGATACATTTCCAGGATTTTTCCTAATTAACATTTTTATTTTATACGCTCAATCTTAAGTTAAGAATAGTTAAAATTTACTACAGTAATAAATAACAAGTCAAATTATTATCATCGAGTAAGAACATTTAAGATTGATTTTTGCCGTTGATAAATAAACGTTGGCTAAAAAATGAAAATTGGGACTGAAGGTTTTATTATATGGTTTTTTTAAGAAGATTCCGATTTAGACATTGGTGTGTCCAGAATAACGTATACAAGAAAAAAAAATGTCAAAAATGACGTATGACTTTAATAGTAGCAAAGATTAGAAACGAACTATAATTGTAGTCAAATTAAATGTTTTAAATATTATACAAAAATTTCCTACAGCAGTTACTTACATTAATGCAAATTTTCAGAAAATTCAAATTCAAACTTAATGAATAAATATTTTTTATTAGCCGGACAAAATACCCGATAAATTCACCTCAACTTAAATTTTAAAAACGAATTGCAACCATTGAATAATTTATAAATACAAATATTTATTGTACGTTTGTTTTTACTTCCGAATAAATCTTAATATTTCAATACTTATGCATTATTAATTTTTCCTGTTGTACAAAAACTTCCATTCGAGTATAATTTTTACTTGGTTGAAAATAATAATGAGTATTACTATTAGATTAAGAGAATTTGTCAAGTTTTTTTGTTAAATTTTAATTTAATATATACAATAGGAATTAGGTCAAAAACAGAATGGAATCTGTCAAGAAAATGTCACAACAATGAAAACGAACGAAGGCAATAAATGTAAACAACATTACTACTTTGGGCGAACGACCTTATCGAGCGAGTTTTAAGTGCTCTGTTATGGCGAAAGTGTGATTTGCTCAGAGAATCCATTGTGCAAGATTCGTTGTAAACTTTTGCAAATTATTATAATTTCCGAATTTTTAGTACTATTTGTAAATGACGATAAAACGTACCTAACGTTAGTTTATGTAACCTCTTTTCTTTTTTACAAAAAGAAAACTAGACCAACTGACTAAATAACTGCTGCTACACAACAAAGAAAATATATGTTGGACTTCCGCGTTTTTTACTAATTTGGTGGCAATAGCGAATCGATTGTCACGCTGTCAGTAACAACAGAAATATTATTTGGCATGTACCTCTGATAACGGTGCCGGTGCACTGATACGGTCGTCCGGTGAACATATCAAAAAAGTTAGAGTAGTAGTCTTCGTTTTGGTCCTCGTCGTCGTCTTCTTCCATGCCCCGATGTTGATCGTTTTCTGGTTGTCCCGGCAAATCGGCGTCATTGACAGAGGACGACGACGACAGTCTCCTGTTGGTTGAGCTGTCGTTACAGTCGTTGGTTTGTGAAGGATCCTGTCTCTCGAATAGACCGTCCAATACATCCACGCTCTGAACGACTGGTTCGTGTACGTGAACCGTTATCAAATGCACGCACTTGTACAATAAGAACCAAACGTCCGGCTGAGTGGTCAGACACCGTATAATGTACCGGCTCAATTTTAAAATTACCGATGTACGTCTAGCCGGCTGCATGTCACCCGGGCACGCATCACAACGCGATTGACGTCGCCGTTATCGTCGCTTACTCCTTCGCCGCTATCGCCACTTGATTCTCAAGGCAGACTGGTCCCCTCCAAACTAATAGGCCGTTAGACAATCTTATGTAATTTTACGGGGTGGCGATGGAAGTAAATGCGTTCTGAAAAAACAGCAGTTCGAATTTTCCACGATATAGTAATTCTTGACCTCGAAAATTAAGTTTTGTTAATGTTTTCTTGACTTTAAAAATATGAAAATAATAACACGGTATAGAAAATTTTTTTTTTTTTTAAGTTAAATAGGTTTATGTTTGACAAAAGCTTGTTAAACATCCATCGGCATTTATAAAAGAAGCGTAATTTGAAGGGTTAATGTGATTGCTCTCTTCTTAAAATGAAAAACCGGTTATAGTAGCGATCCAATTGAACAATTGATAATAATAAAATAGTGAAATTTTATATAGAATCAAAATTTAATAAACCCTAACCAAAATATCCAATTGTATCCCTTGATATTTCTACATAGAACTAATTAGTTATATTATTAACTGATTGAAAATAAAAATTTCAATTTGAATTTAGTTAACAATTGATTAATTTTAGTATCTTCATTTTTTGTGATCTATTTTTTTTTCTATAACGACTATATATAAATTAAATTTTTTCTTCAACACATATCGATAATCTTGAAAATATGTTCAAATTGTGAGTGTTAAATTGAAAAAAATCTGTTTACATTTTTATTTTTTACGTATAAAATACATTTTCTTATTATATTATTCAAAAAAACTTTGAAACCGCTAATTTTTTGGATTTTTCTTGCAAAAATTATTAATGAGTTAATGACAACTTTAAAACAAGTGCTTGTAACCCAATAAATTATTATTGTAAAATTGTTATCGACCCATTAAAAATATTTACAAGAAAAGTGGAATAACTAGGAAAAGTAGTAGTTATTAAAACGTGGCTTTTTATTCAATTCTTTGCTTTCACTATTTGTTTTTAATTTCATAGAATATGTAAAACATAAAAGAAAATTGTATTGGATTTTTCTTTATTCTAGTTTATATAAATGCTTTATTTCTCAAAAATATAATACGTCATTAAATTACATATATTTATTAATTTTTAAGATATAATTTTATTAGATTTCTATTAATTTAGCGAATCTAAACACTAAAAATATTAGTAAGAATAATTTTTTTTTTAATCTATAGCATTTTTGTAAAAAACTTTGTTAAAATTTTAGAAAAATGTTTTTTTAACATACATTTTTGAATATATTTTATTAAGGCGTAGCAGTGCTGGCATTAGATACTGTGGATTCGATACAAAAACGTTTTTTCAAGACCTTTTTCATAAAACTTTAGTAAGAGAAACCTTTTTTTTGTTTTTTGTTTATACATATGACACCTTCTAAAGCGCAGGGTCCTAAGCAAATGCTTTAGTTGCTTTTCTCTTCCTATATATATAATTTTCAATGTTTTAACTATTTGTTCTCTATTTTATAATAAGTGAAATTTTATGTTGTAAATGATATATGATAAAAAAAAGTGTTTTGTATATGTTATAAAATTATATCATAACACACTTCTAGAATGGAGAAGTGTCATCGTGTTATAATATTAAGGATAATATTTATAGGATTATTTTTTGTGAAATAGTGACAAATTAAAACGTCTTCAATATATAGACGACCCATATATCTTAGAACACATTCCTTAGAGTGTAAGTATTTGGTAAGAATTTGATTGCGTATTTTCATTGCGCTGAGTTTTTCCATTCTATATATTATATGAAACTATAAGAAGGTCATTCAATTTAAATCTTACAAATATATGTAAATAAAAATTATACTTGTATATTCGGTATTAAAGTAAATATTTTTGTAATTGGTATTGAATTTGCATATGATAAATTCATTTAAATTTTGGTGTTAATAAATCGATTTGTGTATATTTATCTAAAGCAACTTTATTTAAATGCAATTACTTACTCAATTAAATATGATGTAAATGTTTATAATTTTTTTTTATTATTAAAAAAGAGTCATCGGCAGCTTTAACCATTAGCCTTAATACGTTTATAAAATTAAACTTCAGGATGTTTTAAAAATAATTGTATACTGTATTATTTATTTGTTTATAGTTTAATAGTTATGTAGATAATTGGTTATATATTTTTGAAGTTATAATTAATCATTACTTATTATTATGTACTGATAAACAGGTTTCGGAAAATTCTAATGGTTAATTTTCTTATAATTGTGAAATAGTTTATTATAATTTTATTTTGTCTGAATAATTTATAAAAATTAATAAAAAAGAAATCGATTTCCATTAAATTCAGCTAGATTTATAATACATGATTGATTGTTTTTTGTATATTTCTTTATAGTTTCTAGTTTATTCAACTTATAATTTCCTTTTTTATACTTCTGCAAATCCTTAATATGCATATTTTTAAAGTAAACTAGTAAAACTATCAAAAGAACTATTTAGAAATTAATGTATAAATACAATTACGTTGTTGAATAATTTTACAAAATAATGAATCAATGAAATTCTTTGTTAAGATGAGCAAATAAAGCTTAAAAGTTAAAAAATCATAATTCTTCTGATTTTTGTGTTTCCTCAGCCACAAAAGATAAGATACAATTATAATAATAAGTTAGACTATATATATTTTTCTATAATTTTTATTTTAAATTAATATTATGTATAATCAAGATTTATGTTTAACTACTTTTAAATCATATTTACACGTACTATTATAATTTAACTATTGTTTTATTTCAAAGAGATGTCTGAAGTTATTACAAAGTACTGATTTAATCAAGTTTAATGTTAGTTCTAAGTCACATTTATATGTATATTGTAAATGGGTTCGAACTAATTACAAATGTTATCACTATACAAACGATTGTATTCCAACTTGGGAGCCTAAAATTTAATTTTCCTTTATTGAAAATGTTTTTTACATAATAATAGATGTAATAATTTTTTTTTTTTTTTTTGAGGGGGTGATTACTTAACTCAGCTACTATGCTTTTACTTAAACTCCTCTCCTCCATTTAAAATATTCAACATTATAAAGGCCTTTTAAATAAATAATAACAATAATAATAGTCATACAAAACTAAATTTTATTAGGCCCTCAATTTGTTATAAAAATTCTGTTTCAGATATAAAAGTATTAATGTTTAACGAAAATTATATTTCAGGTTGTTTAGCTTTGAAGGAATGAAAACGATTTTTTTATTATATACAGGGTGATTTTTTTATCATAACCCACTCAATTACTTACAGAATAATAATAATTTAAACATTTTTTTTTATTATTATCTTTAGTTACACATTATTCTTGAATTATTAACTATGTAATACTTTTTAAGTTCATCCCTTATGCCTGGTAAGGGTGTCAACTTTGTTTTTTTAAATGGTAACTCATATTTTTAATTTAATAAAATGTTTGAGTTTTTAATTCAATAGTAAATGGCATTTGAATTTTTAATAAAACTTAATTTGTTTATTAGATATAAACATTTAAAGTTTCAAATTTTTGAGTTAATATATAGGTATAATACACAAGGGATTACAAATACAGGTAGCTAATTGGTTTTTTATGATATTGCTATCACAGTCACGGATTGTTTATTATCAATTATGACTATCAATAGATATACTTTTTGTATTGTCAGTTAGTGTATTTATAAACTCACAACAATGTACCTTACTATCATTGATAATAACAATGCTGTGTACCTGCTAATATCGATGTCATAAAAAACCAATTAGCTACCTGTATTTGTAATCCCTTGTGTATTATACCTATATATTAACTCAAAAATTTGAAACTTTAAATGTTTATATCTAATAAACAAATTAAGTTTTATTAAAAATTCAAATGCCATTTACTATTGAATTAAAAACTCAAACATTTTATTAAATTAAAAATATGTGTTACCATTTAAAAAAACAAAGTTGACACCCTTACCAGGCATAAGGGATGAACTTAAAAAGTATTACATAGTTAATAATTCAAGAATAATGTGTAACTAAAGATAATAATAAAAAAAAATGTTTAAATTATTATTATTCTGTAAGTAATTGAGTGGGTTATGATAAAAAAATCACCCTGTACAGTGCGATTCTTTCAACGCTAACAATTCAATGTCCCTTAAAATAATAATTTTTGTTACACATTTTTTTTGAATTATGTTAGTTTTTTATGTATCTCCATTAATATGCTATAAAATATTTTTCATGTTCATTTATTATATTTTTTAGATGTGTAATCTTAATTTATTTAAATAGTAACATACATATTTAACTAGCTTATAATATAGAAAACTATGTAAGCAAATGACTGGTCGATAATAACTTTTGAACCATTACATTGGATATTATAAGCATTAAAAAAATAACTGGAGGTGAAGCTTAGATGCTACATTTTTCACTATAATCATTTCTCAACTCCCCTCCCCAATAGGTAAAAAAATGTGAATATCTTCTAAATCATTCGTCTAAAAGTTATTATTAACCAGTCATTTTCTTAATTAGATCGTTTTTATTTTATAAGCTATTTGAGCATTAAAAGTATTAATTTTAGTATTAAAAAAATTAAGTTGAAACTCCTATAATATATTTGGAATAAATCTAAAAATTATATAATAACAGATAAATGGATTTACATGAGTAACTAAGAAACCCAAGAAACATTGTTGAAATAACTTATTATTTTATGAGAAATTGATTAGTTAGCATTAAAAGAATCACATTGTCCTATGATCAACTTGAAAGCAACTTTTTAATAAATGGAAAATTCCTTTTGATTCGTTTTATTTTATCACTTATATCAGTTGGGTTGAAACTTAGTTATGACTCAGTTTGAATACGAGATGTTGTACGATATCATATTATAATGTTAAATTACATTTATTTTACCTTAGGGATTATTACTCAAACTTTATTAATTGTGATTTGATACATATTAATTTAGAGCACAGAAATGGGTGTAAAATGCAATTAAAAA